TAGTGAGGGTGGACAACTTTAAATATCTGGGGTCAACTATCCAAAGCAACAGACAGTACACAAGAGGTGAAGAAGAGAGTGTAGGCAGAGTGGAGTAGGTGGAGATGGTGTCAGGGGGATTTGTGACAAAAGGATAGCAGCAAGAAAGGGAAGGTTTACAAGACAGTAGTGAGACCTTTATGATGCAGGGTTTGGAGGCAGTAGCTCTAAGAAAAAGACAAGAGGCTGACGTGCAAGTGACGGAGTGACCAGGATGGACATCATCAGAGGGACAGCTCGGGTTGAGCAGTTTGGGGACAGAGTTAGAAAGTCGAGGTGGAAGTGGATATATTAGACAAAGGATGTTGAAGATGGAAATGCCAGGCAGGAGGAAACGAGGAAGACCTCTGAAAACGTTTATGGATGTAGTGAAGGGGAACAGAAATTGTTGGTGTGATAGAGGAGGAGGTCAAGGATAGGGTTAGATGGAGGCAGATGATCGGCTGTGACAACACTTAAAGGGAGCAGCCAAAAAAAAAAAAAGTTGTTTTGTGGTGCATCTCTTTTTTGTGTACTGTATTTCTTTAAAGCTGTTTTGTGTCTCTTTGTTGTCTCTTGACAAGACACATGTGGATGAGACAGAAAACAAAGAACTCAGACCGAACACCATAACAGTAAAGCAATCTAGACTTGTAGCCAAAATTTCATAGAAACTAAACAGCCAACAGACCTCACACAATACAACAAGAACTGACGCTCAGAATTAACAGTATGATAGAAAGTCAATCATCAGACAGTAATCTAAATCTTCAGGCACAGAATAACAGTAATAATAATAACTCTAAAGTAAACGCAAGAACCTAGGACCAGGACAAATATACATTTCTTAGTGGAACAGAATAGAACAGCCCTTTATTGTCCTGAAATTGTGGATGCTCCACATCTACTGTGCAGGAACAAAATATAAATAATAAGACATCAGAAATACACACAGTAGGAGAACTTGCTCTACACTGAGGAACAGTAGCAGCAGCAGCTTCTGGTCCATGTTATTCTTCCTCAGGAGCCAGAGGCTGCACTTGATCAGCGGAGATTTGATCGCCCTGAAACCTGAAGGTGGAGACAGATTCCACTCATTCTCCATTTATAATGAGAGGGCAGTGAGCCTGTCTGTGCCTCCTGAAGTCCATGATGTGTTATTTTGTTTTAAGGCTGTTCTGCTTCTAGTATATCTGCTTTAGAGATTTTCTGCCTGCTGTTAGTAAAACATCACTGAGCAACATCACAGCGTAGTG